ATAGCCACGTCTCTGGTTGAGTTCTCATCGACATAAAACATTACAGGCTTCGCAAACAAGGAGGGACCCCATTTCCAGGCCGCCACTACAAGGGCAAGGAGCTCTGCCTCGAAGATGATTTGCTGGGACCTATCGCCGCCTAGGAGACGAATCTGCTCTGCGGTCAGGCACACAGAAAAGAACTCAATCGCCTGTCCCGACTGGTCGAAGAGGATGCCGCCAAGCCCACATGGCCACTGCTTGTTTGACACATCGTAGGACGCATCCGTGAAAACGAACCAAGGGCGCTCGCTCAGGATTGCAATAACCCTGGGTGCATCTGCACACAGCCTCTTCAAAAACCTGGCAATTGCGTTCCTGGCGGCTGGCGTGAGCGCCGGACCAGCGTCTCCGTACGCAAAAGAGGTGATGGTTCGCATGCACGTTTTCCCGGTTCTTCCGAAGAGCTGGCCGTCCGCAAATTGCATACGACCCCGAAGCTTCAAGGCAAAGGATTGTGGTAGCAGACCTGTTTCTAGGATCTTCTGGAATGTGTCCTTAAGCTCTGAGATGCGTCTCAGCGTGTTCGAGAAGAGTATGTAGCCCTCGCAGAATTTGCTGAGGTCAATCTTTACTCCAAGCGCCTGGAAATTCAACGCGAATGGCTGCGCCTTCTCTCCACTCTCTGCGAAACCCCATCCTAGGAGCTTGAAGAAGGCCTCAATCGTACGCTGCAAGTGCATGCTTCCTGCTCCCCGGGCAAAGGACACGAAATCGTCAAAGATGTCCAGGGAATCGCCAGCTGATCAGCCCCAATGAACCACAAGGACATGGCCACGCGAAGGAACGCGTACACCGCACGGCTCGCGCCAAAAGGGAGTGCACGCATGTGGAAGATCCGCGGCGCCTGAATGGCCGGGTCCCAACAAGCCACATAGCTAGCCCAAGAGGACTCCGGTGCCACTGCAAGCTGACGGTACGCGGACTTCAAGTCAAAGGTACGGCCGAGTACCGTGCTACGACCACACGTCGCGAGCAGTGCAAGGCAGAGGGCTGCCACTTTGTCAGTGGCGTGTGGCCGTGGAGTCTCGGCTACTTGCACCGTGCCATTGACCTCTCCAAGTGAGAAGTCATCTATAACCCTTATTCTAGATTCTTGCACAACACCGAACCTACGGCTTACAAGCGCGCTGCTTTCCAGCTCACTGAGCGGAATCGGCCCTTCAAGCCAACCGGCATTGCACTCTTCCCATGTCTTTTTCATGACTTCCGCGTCCAGCTCACCCGTCGGCCGGACCTTCGACAGGACCCTTGAACGAATGCTGCTGGCTTCTCTCCTGACCTGGTCTACAGATGTTTTGGCAGGCTTGAATGTAGGCGCGAAGATCCCTGTGATGGGTACTTCACCAGTGAGACGCGTGCCCTGCATAAGTTCATCGAAGGCACCCGGGTCTGGGTAATTACACTCCGAAAGGATTTCCTTGTAAAGCAACAAGCGGTTTGGCTCCAGGATGCTTCTGCAAGAAGGATGCAATGTCTTCTTGAGCTCCGCTTCTTCGGACGCGAGTTGCTCTGCCCTTTTGGCCCATTTGTGGATCCAGTGAGTCCTCATCTTTGCAAGGTCTGCATCGTCCATGGTTTCATTCAACTTCACTGCTTTCTGAAGCACATCTGGCAGTGCCTCACGGAAGCTGCTCGGGTGACCTGCTTTCACGGCAGCCTCAACAAACTCGGCCTCAGAATGCGGCACGCCCCCGCTTGCTCAAACGTCAACTGCTCAGCTTCAACTTTCGACCCACCTAACCAATCCCCAACCTTAACCGAGATGGGTGTGCTGCGGAGGAGCTGACTCTTCGCAGGAACACAAGCAACAAACGGCGTGGCCCTGACGCCAGCAGGCAGCGGGAGTGGCTGATCGAGACGCTTTCCCGGCGCGCAAGGGCAAGCCAAAGGCTGCTGCGACCGCAGAACTACCACCATCTTGTGTTCACTCACAGGAGCAGTGAACCGTGAGGCCTTGCTTTGGATGCCGGCGATGGCTCTTTCAGCTGCTGCGGCGAGCTTGTCCTGATCTATGCTTGACGCAACCCTGGCCCCATCCCAACCGCGCGAGACCTTGCCCTTGATGAACGCCAGCACTATGCCAGCTGCCAACTGCGAGGGATAGGCGGTTTCTTGCGAGGTAGCAAAGCCATTTGGCGCAGCGGGGTCGCGACCCCAAGGCAGATGCTGCTTGGCGCACTCAGGACCAGGGCAAAAGCGAGCCAGGCTCGCAAACGCAGCACAGTTGTGTGCAAACGCAGTTTGTTTCTGGCGTTGGCCACCGTAGGCACAGTGGTCAAAACTCACATAGTGGACCAACTGCGAAACCGACTTCCAGAAAGATGTCTGCCAAAAGAAACTGTTCAGCGGGTTCTCGACCGCAAAGATCCGCTGATGCTTAAGGCACCAACGCACAACGTCAGCAACTAACTGGTAGGTCAGGTTGGCTTGCTGCACTCTGAACTCATCAACTTGGCTCGGCTCAATCCAGGCAACCCATCAGGCCATTGCGAGGAACGCAACGGAGGAGGACCTCCATCCCCTGCCTTTCTTGCTTGCGACTCAGAGCCGCACGGCGGTGCCATGAAAACGCCTATGACTCTGGGCGACCGTAGCCAAGTGAACAACAACTCCCGACCCTCATCGGTGGTGAGGTCGAGTTGGATGCATTTGGAGCATGCCTTGGAGACATCAACATCAACTGATCAACTCCGAAGGCACCCTGCACACCAAAGCCCTTGAGGCAAGCTGTCACGCGTGCGGTGCCCGCAAATAGCTCTACCACGACTGGGTATGCTTGCCAACTAGAAAAACCTGAAGCCGAAGAACCCTCAGCAGCGCAACCAGTTAACCCCAGTGACTGTGGGTCACACAGGCCGGATTTACCGACGGACTTGGTAGCATCGGCGCATGCATCACGCGGAGAAGCGCACACTGCAGGAGGAACCGCACTTGGCGGATCACACGGGTCAGAAAGATCTTCATGGTCGCTTGCAGACTGACTCGAGCACACCTCCATGGAATCAACGCAACCATCTCCCAGATCCGACAGGCTTCGTTGCGGACCTGCCCCCACCTCGGAACTACGAAGAACTGACGGGACGCACCGACTCTTGCGATCCCACCTCGGCACAACACAAAACCGGCAGGACACGTGGCTGACCTAGACTTGCGCAAGGTTCACGCACAAACCTAACCCGAGACTTAGCAGACTTAGCAGCAACTGCACTTGCACACGACGCGGCTGTTGGGACGATGACACCGGCCCTCGCAGGCACATCAAACACATCCCTTGCGTCTGAGTCTGACAGGCTTTGCTGCAGACACACCTCCACCTCGGAGCTATGCAAAACTGACACGGCAGGTGGCCGATTCTCCCTTACACAGCACCTGCACCCCTCTGCAGGAAGACTGGCTGCAGACGCCACGCGTCGGGCGGCTTCAGGGCCCGAGCCTCCAACTACGCCACAAGGGACGCAGCTGTCATCGGCTCCCCCTGATCTTCACTTGTGCTCCTTGAGCGGATGCGCACCAAAGCATTTGGCGCACACGTGGGCGCGCTTACAATCCTTGGTAGTGCACTTGTTGAGGCTGTAGCCGAAGCAAATCTCAGAGCCATCCGGGGTTGTGCCCGCTGCTCCAGCCGCGACAAACTCTTTGGGGAGGCGAGGCTCTTTGCCGGCGCCTTTGCCACTGCCATGCTTCAGGAACTTCTGCTTGCCATGACCACTATAACCGTCCACTTGCTGTCTCTTCTTGTCACTGCCTGAGCCCTTTCCCGGCCGCTTGGGCGGGCCGTCCTTGGCAAAGCGTGGCTGCAGGGTGAACGACACTTCGTAAGACTCCAGAACCTTTTTTTTTTTTCTTTCCAACTCCTCGTCAAGGGGGTAAGTGCCATCAGGACGCTTGCGCGGACTGGTTCCCATTTGGATGAGGCGCACCCAGCACTGCCGGTCAGCCTCGGCGAGCTGTGATACGGAGCATCTCGCCATGTTCGGCGGCGGATCCCGAGCAAGGTGACCAAACAGTTTGCAAACATACTTTTCATAGCTGCACCAGCTGCACGACTGAGCGAACACCAAGGCTAGGCCACGACGCCGGAGTGCTTCTTGGAGCTGCAAAGCGCTCGACGCGGGCTGTTCCAATTCTGCGCTGTCCTCATTGACCACCAAGCGTGATGCCTCCAACTCTACGATCTTGGTGGGCGTCTTGACATTCATGACCTCGTGGAGACGCGACACACACTTCTCGGGCGGGATGAACTGGATCTGGTTCTCTTGCTCCATTTTGGCAGCCAAATCAAGCCGGGCTCGAGCGACTCGCTGACATGAAGCCCCACCAGCCTGGCATTGAGAATTTCCATTCGACGTTGTCTCTCCGCCGCTGGGACGGGCTTAGCCGTTTGCCGGTCCGGGTTGGTGACCTGCTCTTTTAGCTCGGCAAGAATCAAGGTCTGCCCTTCAAGGCGCTTGAGAGCAGAATGCTCTCCCACCGTCGCATGCCCGAAGTTGGACTCCAACCAAGACCCCAATGTGGCCTCAGGTAAAGGTTGGCCAGGTTGCCCAACCGAGTACCCGAGACGCGCCAAGGACTTGAGGTCGAGCCGGCTCAAGGCATTGATGGTCGTTGGGGTCAGGCCCACCTCAGCACAGCGCTGAGCGAAGTGGTATTCACTCTCGATAAGGCTGGACATGGCAAAGCAAAAATCTTCTAACAAGGCCTAAAGCACGCTAACGCTCGAGCAAGCAATCTAGCAGCCCAGCATACACTGTCAACTCACAACAAGACGCGCAGACCTACCCTTTGCAAAGGCGCACTCACTCAGGCACAGTTAGCAACACGACAGTCCATTCTCTGAGCAGACATGTCACACGCACTCACTCAAGCTCAGTAACAACTCGACAGTCGGATAAGCCTACACCATCTCAGTGCAAACTCTCGCCTTCTCCCTTCCTGTCACGTAACAGGAGACATGGCACACATAGTGCGAAGCCTCCGTGCAACTGAGCTTCCCCACTCCTGCACAGAGACACCCACTATATGGTATTTACCTTCTTTTCAGCTGCTCCTTCCGGTCCCGCATGCTTCCCGCATGTGTTGCACACGGGACCCTGCACATCTGCGTCTTCAGCAAGCCGGAACATCTTAGACACAGAGCGTCCACACGCAAAAATCTGGTCCTCGTCAGGCGTGGCTTTCTGGCCATTCACCAGATGCAGCATCTTAGACCTGCGATGCACCCACCAAACCTGAGCGTTTGCATTCGCCGGCGCAGGCCAGTGCAAGCGTTGGGCCTTAGCTGGCTGGGGCAAATCCTCTTCATCACTGCTGCTGCTGCAGCTGTCTTCGGACGAGGAGGAAAAGAAGCCGTTCTGCTCACTGTCACTACACGCGAGGCCCAACGAAGCAACCTCCACCGGCTCGCTGGCCTCACCCTCCTCCAACTCTGCTGCTGCAGCCTCCGCTTCACACTGGTTCTCTGTAACCTCAGAAGCAAGGGACGGGGGCCGAGGCGGAAACTTAAAGTATCGAGACCTAGCTTCATCGGGTCGGAAATCTCCTTCGGCTATGGCTTCAATAATTCTCTGCAGCTCGCGCGACACACATGTCTCTTGCGTACACGGCATCAGCAGTGGAAGCGCACTTGCAATGTCTTCCCAGCACCGCCTGCGTGCGATCTGACACACCGTACTTACTGACCCAGCTGAGGCAGGTAGCTTTAAGGGAGTGAGAAGAAACGACCCGTTCGCCCGCCACTGGCGCTGGCAAACCAAGAAACGTCCGCAGGAAAGCAGTCACCTCACCAGACTCAATTGCCCGGCACGAGAACTCGTCACCTCTGCAATCACGCGGCGCAGGCAGGACGGGCCCGTCAATGGCCCCGTCAACAGGCAAGCGCAATCCCTGAAACACATCAACTAGCAAATGCATCCACGGCTTTCCATGGACGCCAATGGCCGGGACGAGGATGGGCATAAACTTGCTCTTCTTCTGCGCTGATTTGGCAGCTTTATGCTTTCTGGTCAGGATTTCGAACAATCCACCATGCTTGTCATGATCGTGTGTGATGGACGAGATCTGCTCGAGGTCAAAATGCCTTGCCCTGCCGTATAAGGCAACTAAGGCGTAAGCACACATTGCTCTGTCGACCGGGTGACGAGACACATCTTCTAATCCTTTATGCAACTGCAGCACCTGATGCACTGACAGCGGCAACACTTGCTTTTGAGCCTCCTTTCCCGCAAACATTTGCTGTGCTACCCCTTTGACACGCTTACTATCAACTACCAAAGCCAAGTTAAACCCTAGGACAAAGTGGGCAAACCTGACCGAGCTGAGAAAAGCCTCGGCTTTCGTTGGGGCAGCTTGCGTGTCCTTTAGATGCGCGACATAGCGCCACGCGTTGGCTTCAGAGAGCCGTCCGCCGCAGTCATGCAGCACGGCATCCCGCCAGCGCAGCCACGCTGTGAAGCTTCGAGCACACTTCAGAACGGTCAGTGGGGACTTGACGCCAAGGCAAGCCTCGACATTTGCGAAGACAGCTTGGTTGAACGCAACCGGCTCCAGAACATCGTTTGCTGCCAAGCCAGGCTCACACTCACGCCGGAACCTAACGCACACGTCTGTCCAGATGTTGACCGCTTTTGACCAATCCCGCTGGCATTTCTGTTGCGGCGTGATGCTTTGCCGCGATTTGACCACTTTGGCAAAAACTGGACCTTGTGCGGCCGCATCAAAATTCACATCCACTACAGGCTTACTAGTTTCGACCTGAGGCTGCACTGTCTGCACATTATGCACATTGCCCATCCAACATGCTGCAAGGCTCGGCTGCAGAACTGCAGGAAGATCGCTGAAGATTGCACTTACTGAGGGCGACTCCCAAGGCATTTGGATGGAGGAGAGCTTGCCTATCCTGCTGAAGGCATCAATTGCCGCATGCTGCACGACACCCGGCTGAACTCTCGCCGGCTGTAAGCAGTGCGCCAGCTCACACTGGTCAAGACATTCAGGCTTAAGATCGTCCACGAGTTCGAACGCACTGATGCTTTCGTCACCTTCTACGCTTTCAGGTTCTGTGCCTGCGTCGCTCTCCAGTGGAACCCCCTCTTGACCGTCAGGAGCCTCCGAAGAGCTGGACGCACGCTGCAGAAGCGAACTTGATATCCCGCCCGATGGGCGGAACGCAGCCATGCGCCAGCTACGGCGAGAACACACGAGTAGAAGCAAAATGCTCGCAAGAGTCTACTTCCTCTACGACTGTGCTTGCTCAATCTTGCGGCACGCATGAACAATGCACTCACGCACAAACTCAACGCGGGAAGGCACACACATGCGCGGGAGATTAGGCACTGCTAGTCCAAGTGAAAGAGTTATCACGTCGCAAGCTCCATGACGACACTCAAGACGCATGGACAGGAAACGCTGCACAGAAGCCAATGCCATAACAAAGGGAAGCCATGAAGTAGCAACCCATCATCTACACGGTGTGCTTTTTGCAGCTCGAACCTCAAAGACGGCGGCAATGCTTCCCTTCTGTGCCTGCGACCCAGAGTCAGAGGCGAGGAGCCACAGACGTGACTATTGCGGCCGGCGGCCGACCTTCTTCTTGGCAGCCGACTCTTGCTTCGATGGCTTGGCCTCACAGACAGACGAGGCTACGATTGTCCATGCAGGACAGAAGCACTGCCTACCCATACTTGCCTTGGATTTCGGACGCTTCCCTGCATCTGCGCAAGTTGCAGCTGTCGCCTGGCGGGGGATCTCTCCTCTCTACTTTAATTTGAGCATGGAATCATGCGAAAGCCAGGCTGAACGTACCTGCCTACCTACTTACTTACCCGCCATAGATCTCAAGGGCCCCAGCCACCTCAGCAGCCAGGTGTGGCACATATTGCTTCTAGGGTGCCTTGCCGCACCTTGCCTTCAGAGAAAAGCCAACGCAGCTTCTAGTGCTTCCTGAGGCTAGCCATGTATGAAGAGTTGAAGAGTTGGTGCTATGCAGGCATTTAGCCACCAGGTGAGGGTTGAACAAGGCTTCATGCCGAAACCAGTACTCGTGAAGCCCCTGTAGCTGAAAAACGCCTGATAGCTGTCTACGGCTTGAGACAATCGTTTCTAATGAAGTCGGTGAAGTACCGAAGTACCTGCGAAAGAACTGGGGGTTACCAGTAGACGTGCAGTGCAGCCCTTGCCTCGCTATGCTCTACCTTCTTCTCGGTGGCCTTTACAGACTCTGCAGCGTGGCACATCCAAGTTTCTGCATGCTGCCAATCACGACCACTTGTGCACAAGGCGGCCTCGAGAGCCTCTTTCCGATGAGATTCCGGACACAACAGCTTCTTTGGCAGCAGCTGCAGAACACCTTCCCCCTCTGCACTGATCTCACCTCTGCGACCAGCCGAGCAGCATTCCAGGAACATGAAAGAAGCGAACGCAGGCACGGAGGGTTCTTGGGTTACGCACCCCCGGGATCACATCGAGCACGCTTTGCACCCTGGATTGCTTCCCAGGGGTTGTCTTTCCGCACAAGGTCCCCTTTGGAGCCTCCGACTGCGAGGCTTCGGGCGGCTCACGTCCTGGACCGGGTGCCGCAAAAAGGCCATGGCCATGACAGAAAACGTTGCACCAATTTCCCGGCCTTGCTCCGCAGTCGGTTCTGGCAACGCATCGGAGGCCTCCCGCGAGGCCCTCTGCCCTATTACGCATGTGCTCCGAGATGGAAGATCTCCCGCAAGGCTGATACTGCGTCTTCTGCACAAGCTCACATTTCGGAGACAGCCCGGTGGATGAACAGGACAACTCAAGACACAGCATACAGCGACGCGCACTGTGACGTCCCACGCACTGTCCTGTCGGTTTGATTGCAGAACGGGAACTGAGCTGCATCGTGAGGTAGACTGCACAGCCCTGGACGCAATTTCTCGATATGTGAAGATACCGGTTTGTCCTCTGATGCTTCCTGTAAATTTTTTTTACAGCAGCAGCCATCGAGTGAAGGGTTATGTGCAGGTGAAGCCTGCGTGTGACCTTTTTCACATTGCGCAGCATTTATCTTGCCCAAAGCCCTGAAGAGTACTAGTTACGAAACGTCGGCACCGAGTAGTTTCATGGACGCGTGAAAAGTCAGCTGCATTTGTTGGCGTCGCTTTGAACTTCCTACCGAGTTGTTTGTGCACAGCCCTGGAAGCTTGCGACAAGTGTAGAACCCCACAGTGATATTGCTAGCCAGTGTCTATTGAAGGAAGCTCCTTATGCTGCTTGCATGCTCAATCTGCATAAGATTCTGCATGTCACGCTTTTGTCGGTCCGAGTCCTGCCTATTGAAGAAGTGCAACCCAGGCCCAGTGCCTGGTTGTGGATTCGGCCTACAACCAGCTCCTGTCGAAGTACAAACACCCGCAAAACCACAACACGTTCACCGGTCGCCGGTCCTGCACGGCGGCACCAATCCTGCCATGCTTTTGCAGCGCGTCAGCTGCAGCACTGGCATCGAAGCCCATCGACTGCGACAAAGACAAGCCAAAGCTTCGAAAAGCTTCAATTCAGCAGTGGTCACTACAGCACATCTGCAGGCTCAACCCCACTCTCTGCATCCGACACATGAAGGCTTTGCTGGCAGCCTGCATGTGCTGTAGGGGAGATGGCATGTCCTGGACAAGTGCCGCGCAGGACATCAGGAACCTGCGACTAGCATGCTAAAGGCCTCGAGTTCCTTCAGCAGCTGGCTCACTGCAAGCTCTGCAGATCCTGCCAGAACAAAATTCGCGTTGCAGACCCCCTGCAGTTCTACATCTCTGAACACGACTCCACTCTCAGCCTCTGTTCTGCTGGAGGGCCAGCTCAACACTTCGTCGGGAAAAGCCCATCTCCACAAGCTGCTCCGTCTTCGGATCCTGCAACTGCCAGGTTTGAAAAGCCAGATTGCGTCACACGCCGCGCAACGGGTCCCGTGCCTTCTGATCGCCTTTTGACGATGCTCCATCGCCGGAAAGCACAACGACCGCTTCGGAACTTCCACGAGCCATCGATGCTTCCGGGGTCCGCTCTAATGAAATGCGTGGCTGGGATTGACATGGATCATCGACAAAAGCCTCTGAAATTCGCTGCCGTTTCGCCGGTGTTGGTAGTGGCACGGAGGGCTGTGTCTCAGGAGCTTGTATGGCTGGTGCCATGTCCGCATCTGCTGGTGGCACAACCTGATGGGACCCCTCGCTTGCACAGGCCGGGGATTCTGGTGATGTTGCCGGTGGTACCGGTTCGAGACAGGTAGGAACTGCTTGAAGGGCTTCATCAGCAAATTGCGTCACCCCCTGCTTCAAGAGCACAGGGGACAAAACCAAGACTGATGCTTCGCCCATCCAATGCCTGGGCACGCGACTGGGCCACTTGTCGGGCTCGTGCTGCTGCTAGCTCCTGAGGATTCACGCCGGCAGTAACAAAAACCGGAAGCACGATGACTGCAAACCAAGCGACCTTCTCAAGAGCCTCGACACGCGCTTGCGCGAGCTTGCTCTCCAGCTCAGCAATCTGTACTTCCATGACCTGAGAGCCGAAGGGGACAAGTCGAAGACGAGCTCACTAAGCCTAAGCAGTACACAATGAAAACAGAGTTGTGCCCAACTTAACAAGTTTAGTCCTTGGATGATTCCAGTGCTTGAACAGAGCGGCTGAGTGAGCCTTCAGCGCAAGCTTGCACAAAGCTGATCGCACATCGGAGGCTCCCTAGGAGCTAAGCTTAAGCTTGTTGAAAACAGTCAATTGGAGCAACCAGTGCTGTGATGCTTTCTTCACATACTGGCAATACAGACACTACAGATGCTAGAAGTTCTTCAGAAAAGGGCATATTGCCGCCTAGGGCTTCTAGTCTAAGAGTCTAATTTCAATCTGCCAAACTCTGATATTGAGCAAACAGCTGCGTTCCCGCACTGTGCAAAGTGTCTCGCACGCTTCAACATGTGGGACCTCCAACTCTGCCACGAAATCTGGAAGCCGAGGTTCGCGAAGTCGCAGGAGTTGCACCTCAAAGCGTGCGCGAAACAAAATCCTAGTTTTTTGGGGAGGGGAGGATTACGATCCGCTTTATCCACAGCATCCTTTGACCCTGGCGAGGCGAAGCAAGTACAAACACTCCGGCTGAATGCTCGCCATCCTTTCAGATTTCACCACTGCATTCATGCCGCTGCCCGCTGCCAAAGCGAACCATGCAGCGCAACATCAGCCAAGCACGAATGTTCAGGCCTGGACACCCCAGCTGCCTGGCAGGGGAATAACTGCAGCATGCACGACTTCGGTTTCCAACTCGCCCTCCCTCCTAAATAACGTCTTGCAGAGCTGGCGCTCCTGTTCCTTCGCATGAACAGCTCTCAGCGAGAGGAAGACCTCGATGCAAAGCGCCAGAACCTTGCAATCTTCTGGCTCAGATTGCTTTGACCTCTATCGTCACGGACGTTCAGGGCACGAACGAGCTGGTTGATGGATCGTCATGCCAACACTACGTCTGCCCAAATGGGTCGGCCTCGTCGTGCGCTACCGGCAGCTGCTCTGCCAACAATCCACAGATCCTCATTAAATCATGGCAATGCTACAGCTTTCTGCTCATGCAATGGCTGCTGGGAGCTCAGCTCTTTATCCGTCGCGATGATACAAAGCTTTGGAAAAGTAGGAACACTGGAGACCGAACTCTACTCATTGGCAGGTGAACGAAGCCCTGCCGGTTGCGGGGTGGCTAGGAAACCTGTCAGTGTAAGGGCCCAACTCGTCTATGTCCTCCTGGCATGTGGTGCCCTCAACACCTGCATGCATGCTCAATGCTTGAATCCAAGCATCAAGCGATGCGGTAGAACAAGTATCAGGACTTGCGGAGGAGGGACTGGGACGAAAGCTAGAAGCGTCAACAACCGAGGCTTTTCCAGTGAAGGCAAGCATGCATACACGCCTACTGAACTCCAAATACAGAAACCCTAACTCTTGAACCCCTCGAATGAGCACCAATACCATCCCCCTCAATGTGGGTGACACCCACCGGGCCAAGCCATGCTCTGCTTGCGCTTCTTGTTCGTCGAGATGCAACTGCTATTACATATGACTGTGTATTCGAGTACTAGTATAGTATGAAATTATGAAATGGTAGAAAAACAGTATATGGAAGAGGTTGGATCAGAGCTTCATGCACACACACACACACATATATATATATATATATATATATACATATACAATAACATACCATAACTTACTCCCCCAATAGCCACAGAAATAAAAGGTTAAACTTTCAAACTACTGCTAAACTATAAGAACCCCAAAACTTTAAACGTTTTGTATTGGAGAACTAAGATAAATACATGTTATATATGCCTAGAAGCCAATGGCTTCAGGTCGGGCGCCCAACATAGAACAAGTACGCGACGCGTGAGCGGAGCCAGCAAGCCACATCGTGAACATCACTGGGGGCCTCTTGGATCCCAATCCGAGCCAACAAGCGCGGAAATAGTAAAAAACAGTATATGGAAGAGGTTGGATCAGAGCTTCATGCACACGTATATATATATATATATATATGTATATATATATATGTACATATACACAAACATACCATAAATACATGTGTATATCATGCCTAGAAGCCAATGGCTTCAGGTCGGGCGCCCAACATAGAACAGCGGAAATGGTAGAAACACAGTATATGGAAGAGGTTGGATCAGAGCTTCATGCACACGTATATTGAACTATATGTACATATACACAAACATACCATAAATACATGTGTATATCATGCTTAGAAGCCAATGGCTTCAGGTCGGGTGCCCAACATAGAACAAGTAGGCGACGCGTGAGCATCATGAGCTGCAAGCATCATAAGCATCGGAGCCAGTAAGCGCACATCGCGAACATCATTGGAGCCCAATCCGAGCCACAAGCCCGCATCACGAGCATCATTGGGAGCTTCTTGGGGCCAACAAACGCGCATCATGAGCATCATCGGGGAGCCGTTTTTCCACTCGGAAGCGGTCCGAAGCACCACATTCAAACACCCCAAAACGGACCCGGCGGGGCAACGCCGAAAACCAGCACCAGGTGGGGGATAGCCCCGAATACGCGCAAAAAATGCCCACCTGGCCGGGGGCCCTTCCCCACACCCCTAGATGCAACCTTTCGGTTGGTAAGGAACTCAGCTAGCCACGGAGGCTAGCTTTCGTGACTAGGGACGAAACACGACACGAGATGCACTTTCTGATTCAACTCCGGGACAAGAACTGCCGGGAAACCCTTGCTGATGCAGACAGCAACAAGGAGGTACGAAGCCAAAGCACCGTGTTTGGCTTCGTGTCCTCTGGAGTTCTCAAGCAGATTGCATGCTGTGCGACTGTCCCACTCTTCAGACTTCAGATTTCTTACAACAAGCACACTTCTCGACTTCTCAAAGTTTCGCGTAGTCGCATCTGTTTTGACTTCAAATTCTTCGAGTGGGAAGCTCTATGTGACTTGTCATCTAAACTCAAATAAATCCAGTTGAGCAACCGATTCTCTCACAGAAGCCATGCCAGAAAACATCAAAAGGATTTCAGTATGGCAGAGCAGCACAAACCATTCTAGAGCGCAGGGCCTTGACCCTCTGCTTCCCGTAGATGCTGGTACCTGGGCGGCTCGTGAGCGGAGGGCTGGAGACGAAGAAGGGGGGTTTTGGGTTTGGGGTATCCATGAAGAGCCCCCATGCGACTTCGGAATGCAGAATTAGGCATGGCTCGGAGCGGTGGGTCAGTGGGCTCTCAAACCCAGTCTTCAGAAATCATCGCAACCCCAGTGTTTGCGAAACATCTACACGCAAAGCACCCCCAACAATCTCCACCAAATCCCAAGAAGTTATCTCAATCACAACTACCAATGCCGCCGACATCTGGAGTGTTCTCACCAATTAAACCAGAGACATCTCAACCATCAGTCAGCGTAACCTTTCCTTCTCGACCGGTTAGGCATGTTGAAAGCCAGGTCGTTTGCCTGATGATGCAAACGAGGCTGCTAAGTTATGAAGGTAGTCAGTCTTGCGTTGAGCTTCGTGATTTGGTCCAAGCTGTGGTCAGGAATCACGAGCTTTGGTTGATATCGGAATTGAATTGAAAGCATAGCGTGGATCTGAGAAGGTGGCTTCTGTCTGCGATTGCAACTCCGTCCAGTCTTGGTCAAGTAAGTGTGCTGGCTCCCGCGTGCCTGGCCTAGTTCACACCCTCTCACGGATGTTGGGTACGTTGGGGCGGCAAGGGATGGTCACGCTGGATTGGTCGGTTGGTGCCTGGTTTCGGAAACCATGTTCAGGAGGTGAGGTCCGGGGACAGGCATTCGATCCCGAGGCACATGAACGCCAGCAGGCGCAGAACTCGGTTCTTGGTCTCCACCTAGCCCAGCTCAACGGGATCGCTGCATGCCACGAACAATCGATGAGCATGTTGGGATCCTGCCTCGACGAAGTTGCGCCAGAAAGCCTCCGAAAGCTACAGGGGCTGAGGGATGACGGCAAGCATGGGCAAGCCCAGCAGTCTTGGCACCACTATCAGATCACATGCCGCACATGCCCAGCTGCCTTCAGAGAGTCTGTAACTTCTGCTTCGGGCTTCAAGGCTCGACCTGGACACGCCGGAAGCACCTTTAAAAGCGAGTTCATTGCAAGCTTCATAACTGCCTGTCAACGCCAGGGGCATGGGAGAGGGACGCGAGAGGTCGGCACCTTGGCAGGCACCAACCTCACAATGGAGATGTTTCCAGGGCTGGAGCATTGTGCTTTCTTGCCTCGTTTTAGGTGCCGGGCACAGGAGTGGCCTGTGCGGCAACAGCTGGACCCAAAATTTGCCCCATCAGCCCTTCGAATGGCAAGTGCGAACAGTTAGCTTCCTCTGATGTCGCTCGGATGCTTCTGTCTCTGCGATCCCTTGCACACACACCGTGGCCCGTCCCATCCCGTCCCCTGGCTGTGGTCCGCACTGCAGCTCCCGCTCCGCAAACTTCTCCGCCAAGCCTCGCCTCAGCCAACGCATGCCGCTACGAAGCTTTGGGCTAGGACCCTGCGAGGCTCGAAGGACCTTGGAGACCCCACGCGGTTCCGTGCAGGAGCTCCGTGAACTTCGGGTGCTTCAACATCATCCTACACCCGGCGAAAGGGGAATCTTGCTCCGGCTGTGGGCTGGTGACTCTTTTGGTCATGCTTCATTCTTTGCGCGTCTCTAAGCCCCTGCGTGGGATCCCGACAAGCCGTTGAGGGTGCTGCAGCTGGCCGCCAACAGCAACAGCCCTCGGAGCAAAATGGGAGACGATGCGGGAGCGTGGAAAGTCCTCACAGTCTTGTGAAGGCCTGAGAAAGCACAACATAGTAGTAGGCGCTAAATTCCAAAGGCACTCTGAGAAGCCCAAAGCCCCGTTGTGTTTGCTAGAGATCCTTCGTGGATTTGGGTCTTCTCACACAGGAATTGCTCGTGTGCTGAGTGCCTCCAATGCTATCTGCAGAAGCTTCCTTTGGAAGTCCGTCAGAATGGCAGTGGGAGAGGGTGCATCGCACATCTCTGGAGTAGGACGTATTGGTAGAAATTCAGGTCTCACCCATCCCTCCTGCTTTGGGCAGGATAATCATTCATGTGCGCGGGCCAGACGGGCTCTGGAGCGGGCAGGCGCAGCTTTGGCGGCACCTCGCTCGGACAAGAGATGCAACCCTATAGCTGCCACCGCTCATAGCTTCGAGGATCAGGCGCGGACTTCAGCTCAGTGCATCCCTCCACCGCCTGAGGGTCACGAATGGTCATGCTGCCTGCAGGCCCTGAACGACATGAAACAAGTTGATACGGTCGTTTAGGGTTTACGGAGCACATGAGGCCGGCCTGGTCGCGTCGGACACATCCGGGGACGGTGGCCACCTTGGCTCGGATGTGGGGATAACATGGGATAACGGCACGAGGGGGCCTGTAGTGGCTTTCATGACCAAAGTTACTGCCGGCACTACGGTCGATGTCGAGTACTTCTGAACGAAGTTCAGGCCTAGCCACGAGGAAGCAGACGTGGGGGTGGACCGTTCTGCCAACCGCACCTGCTATCGAGGCATGGCCGGACATCTCGAAACTGATTTCACGGAGCCTCGCGCTGACTTGCACTGTGGCGAAGAGCAGCTGCCGCTATCCTCGGCTTTCTTCATGGGGCGGAGCTGGAGCAGACAGCAAGTGGCTCAGTTGTTCAACATCATCCAGGGCTTGCAAGACAAAATGTGACCTCAGTCTGAAACGGCGTGTCAACCGAAGCACTCAGTGCCACTATCCCCTGCATGATTACACTGAAGACGGAGGAGGAGGTTACAGCATCAGCTCTTTCCTGCAAGTCTCCTCTCAGCCGCTTCTCTGGCTGTCGAAGGGGTTCCCTGCACAGGAGACACTGCATTGTCCAGCACATCCGGCGCATGTGGATGCTGTCGAAAGCTCTTGTTCGCCTGGGTTCCATGCATGGAACATCCACAGCAACACGCGTCTCTCACTTGTTTCTGATCCGCCAAGAAGCCGTCCTCCACTGCCACTGCCGTGCATGCGCAAGGCTCAGATTCATGGCCTGACGCCGCAGATCGCGGCAGCTGCAAACTTTACCAATGTGTAAGCTTTCGAAGCACCTCCAGCTCAGCGAAGAACGAATGCTTCCACGCATCTAGCTCCTGTTGCAAACGCCAGCGTAGCAAGCACAAGAACTCCACTGCTCAAACAAGCTCGGCAGCCTTGTGCACATGAGAGCTTTGTCTCGCGTTGCAAAGGTCTGGTGCCTCGGTCGTCAGCATGCACTCGCCCCCGAAGTTCGCGACGTTTTTACACTTTTCCCAAAGCTTTCAAGCGCATTGCCAAGCGGCGGTCTGGTGCTGATACCGAGCAAGGCCTCGGAGAAACGAAGTGAAACAGAAACCTCTACGCAACGCCCGTGCTGGATAATTGCAGCTGAAGTCTCTTTCCACATGGGCAGCGCTCTGCTGCGCCAAGGACTGCAGGGTCGTGGACCTGGGTGGCAAGGTTCATCTCAGCGGCTGTATCTATCTCGGCATCGTGATGTCACCTCCTTAGCTCAGGTGCTCGGACCTGTCACGACACAGGTGCAAAATCACAGTCCAAATGCTTTTGTTGTAGCGGCTCTGTCGAGTCTAGTCATTAAGTGCTGCCACTGCCAGGCAAAGTCCTTCAAAGTCCGGGTAGATAAGATGGCACAAAACCCCACCAGACAACATTGTGCTGCTGAGCTCAACGCACACAAGATTGCATGGATGCAACTTCTTGAAGGATGCCAGTGTGCACCTGCAACGAGGCAGTCGGACGCTCAACTTAGCCTCAAAATGCACTATCAAGCCAATTTTTCGGGAAGCCACATGTGAACCTGCAGAAACTCGCGGCAAGGACCCAAACCCCCCTGCCTGGCGAGTTGCTTCAACCACTGCAGTTAGCTGGTGCTGAAGCTGGGATGATGTCTCTCGCTGGACTGATTCAACCTCGCGAAGTGGCAGCAACAACGCTGTTCTTGGCTAGCCGCTTCATCGTATTGTTCGCCATGAACCAGTTCCCAATTTCGGAGCTCTGAAGAGAAAGTCGGTTCAATCTCGACAGTCTTGACTTGGCACCCTTGATAGAACGCGACCATGAAAGAACGTTACCATGACATTCATTCGGGTTACGACCACAACGCACCAGGCTCGTAAAGCCGCACCGTTTACCTGTGCCTTCTAAGAAAGCATCAACAATCACAAAAATGAACCGGGCAAGCTGATTCGACAAACAAGAACGAACGACGTGCAACGAACTGCCTCGAACTCCGCGCACCCCAACCGAAACCACAAAGGAGGGAGTGAACAACATCTGTAACACCTGCACACTTTCTTTGATGTGACAAGACTAGTGTCGGAGAGCAGAAACGTTCTCCAATGCTTTTGGTGAAGGTCGCAGCTTCCCTCCCAGAAGCTGCACACCCCCTGCTTGGGTTGCTTGAGGGATGCGAAAGGGGAAAGGCCTGACCTCACGAGGACTGGGATCGCTGCAAGAATCAACAACTAGGCTCAGGGTGAAAACACTCCCGAGATCGAGACGAACGAGGTCTTGTCCTTGAGACCAGTTCTCAAACAGCAACAGGACACCGGCTCTTGTTTTCCACCGCTGCTATTCATTCGATTGTTGGCACCTGTGACTTACAGCGACGTCGCTGCATCTAAGAGCCTCTTAGATTCAGTGGTCTGCAGCATCTCTCGGTGAGATCCTTGGTAGTACGTACTCATGTTGAGGTTCCAGCGGGGCAATCTAGATTCTGGATGTTTTTGGCTCTTCCGCTGGCGGATTCACCTGCGTCCATGTCTGATGCTGTTCGAAAAACGGGTAGAGGCTTTGTCTGCTCTTCTACGAGGTGTTGTGCTTTGTGGCTGCTGTACGCTGCTGTCTTCTTGATGGCTCCTGGCTGCTAGCTGATTCAACATTGTTGCCATGCAATTGCACCACGACACATACAGGAGCGACAGTTTCGAGTTCAAAAGCATGGCCAAGGAATGAAAAGAAGTGGAGGATTCCAATGAGATCGCGGGCAATTGTCGTCGCTGCCAGCGGCCTCGTGCAGGATGCGCTCTAACCCACCGTCGCCGGTGATGGGCGATGCGAGAGCCTGCATGGACGACAAGTGCTCTTGAAGCATTTCGCCAGTGTGAGACCGCGTCTTGTGTTTGCCGAAAGGTAACAGCAGGACTGCTCGCTCAAACTGACAAACCCCTTTCCCACTCCGGTGCCCGCCACACCTTCGATGACCGCAGCTCCTTCAACAACGTGTCCCTGAGGTCCTCGACTTCCTGGATCACAAGATGGCAGCCAACGCAGATTCACGGCTTCCCTTCCCAACCTTGGCGACACTAGTCCAAGGCGTCTCGGAGAGGTGGAAGGAAGGCTCGGGCTGCCCGGGAGGCTCGGAGATCTGTCGTCGCCTTGGATGCAGTCGACAACAAAGCCGTCGACTCAACAAAAAGTACTGTTGCGGTTCGTGGTGCGTTGTTTGTGACATCCCGTGGCATGGCTTGGACACTTTCCTCTGCCAAGCATCTCCCGAATCGGATTGCTGTTGAACTTGCCCGGCGAAAGAACCTCCGTCAGATTGCAACTTGATACACCACTGCACCACTGCATGAGCGAGAAGAGCCACAAGTGCCAAAAGTCAAGACTATCTCCTGCCTTACATTACTGTGCTTCAATCTAGAGTGCGTCTTGCGGATGGAATGTCTTCTTCCTTGCTCTACCATCCAAACCCCTCCGGCCAATCAATACATGCCTGTTGAGCTACGAAGCCTTCACTACCGCAGCTGCGGTCAAGAGCCGAACCATGAAGATTCCTGGTTGAATCTAAATGAAAAAAGTTTGCCAACTCTAGCTCCGTCAAAAAGCGCCCTGCACAGGCTGCCAGGGGTGTCCAGGACAGCTTTCAAGGCAGCGGGCTCGTTGCTTAAAGACTGTCAGATTTATGTAAGCATTTTAACAATGCTCTACAGAGACAGACTCTAGAGAGAGAGAAAGAGAGAGAGAGAGAGTGTCTGAAATCAGGAGCCTTCGTTGCCTTCGGTGAGGTCGCAGATCGGGCTGCCGCTGGTGGGCGCAGAACCTGAAATGTAGAGCCCTGGTGCAGATGACACGTGTCCTAAGAAATCCTTTAATAGCTTTCGCGACTCTGGCACACATCATTCGATCTAGTTTGTGGAAGTGCCGGAGAGGGTTCGGGCGAACATGGCTGCATCATGTCTCAAAGTTTGCACCCTGCAGCAGCAAGTGAGGTCATAAATTGAAAGCTTCGTGCCTGCTTGCTCGGCGATGATTTGGGAGACGATGCCTTTTGCAAATCGAACTTGCCAGACACTGCTTAGACATCACAATTGAAAGCAACAAAGGGGCTCCCTTCCCGAGGGGGAGGGTATGGGGGCGTTGGGGGTTCTGGGAAATAGATCCGGGATGAGTCAGGGGCTCTCGCCGGATGCAGTATTCTGGCATTGCCTTCTCCCGACCGTAGCTGCTTCTGATCTGTCCCCGGACCCCACGCCCGGAACCGACTTTGGCCCGACCACCCCACTCTCCCATGATAGGTCCCGGGAATAGGTTCCACCACAGAGAGTTCCCCGCCAACCACCGTACTGAGGGGGTCCCTGTTGAACCGATTGATGGTGCAGTGGCCTCAGTCGCCTTTGTGCATGCCGAGGCTGCAAGCAAACACGCTTCCTACATTCTCCCGGCTCCCGGCTGCGCATTAAAACATCGCCAGCGAAGGTTACGATGGGGCGATTGTCTTGGGCCTGCATTTCCGTCTCGAAATACTGCGCGATGCCAGCAAGGAGACTTTCGCACCTGAGTTGTCATGCGAACATTAACGCGTGCGGAAATTCAGGTGCAATGAATCATGTCCTACCCAGGCTCCGAGCCTATCTACTTTGACCTTCGTTTGTGCGGTGATGTAGTGCAACTCCTCGGCGACATCGCTGCCAGCCCAACCGTCAAACTGCAAGCGTCGAGGCTTTATGCCACGTACTTGGATTGCACCAGGCGGCCACGATGGAGATGGGTCGCAGCCCCTCTGCCAAGTGCACGATACTTTGACCTTACGTTGTGACACGACCCAAGGCTGAAGAAAACGAAGGAAAGCAAGGAGCTTCGGAGTTCTCTTCTGCGAGGCCACATGACATTCGGCTCCATGACTGAGAACGAGACAAAATTCTTTCTTGTCGATGGAACCACTGCCATCCTCACGCAACCGTCGGCGGATCACAGGCTCAACAGGCTCTTGAGATCGGCTTTGCCAAGCTTCGGTGTCCATGCAGTTCACCTGACAAAGAACAGGACCTAACGCACATTCCTATGAAGCCGAAGGAGTCAACTGGGTCTCCGACTGTGTTCACGAGATCCTCTCGAGCGAATGGCACGCCCTCTTCGACGCATAGCTCGCCCAACGCAGGAAGGATCTGCATGATGTCGTCAATCGATGCATGACCTGCCAGCTTCTGCCGCAAGCGCTCCCAATGCACGATCCCAAAAAATCCACAGGCACCTTGCGCACTTGCAATCGTCTCGAAGATGCCCTCACAGCCCTGGATGATCCTGATGTGAAAGCTTGGAAAGCGTTTCAGCCGGCATGCAGAGACACAAGGTTCACCAGATCACTCATGGCCAGTATGCCATGTATCCGAACACCTGAACCCCCCAGAGCTGCTCAACTCAGAAAAACTGCTCCGTGTCCTCTGGCGCTTCTCCTCTGCCTCCGCACGCTCCTGCTCGATCTTGGCGTCGTTCTTGTCGAACATGCTCTCCTTGGTGATCCAACCAAGGCTTTTGAACTGCCCCACTCTGCGACCCTGCGCACGGGACAGCTTGGAACCGTGCACAGACGAGGCCAGTCAACAGGCCTACAATGCCAAAGCTCACCTTACTTCTGACATGCGCGGCTATTGCAGCACATGCCGACGTGTAGCTAACCTGATCAAAACGCCGGACTGTCTCTGTTTCCCTTGCATACAAGCGGCAAAAACAACAAAGGCTATGAGAAAGGCTGCAAGGAGCGCATCAGACTCCAGGACTTCCCTGCCGCTTCTGCACATGCAAGGGGGCATTGAAGCTTCATGTCACCTTTGCAAACGGGTGCTACGATAGGCCCGGCCAGTAGGGCATCAAGTCTGGCTCGGACAGCAAGAAGAAGAGGGACAGCATCGACTTCCGAAGGGAGCCAAAGTGAGCGTTCAGAAACTCCTGGCTAGTGTTCATGTGCAAAGACAGCTGCAAAACTGTAAACTCTACTCTCGTTAGTCCATTCCGCCCCGACATCGGAATGCTCCTGATGCTCGTTGTCCTGCATGAACGGAATTATCAATCGGACACAGACAATGGAAGTGACCTTGGGAGGACAGTGGAGGCAGATCGAAACAACGCTGTTCTCGTTTCGCCCGTGCTGAGCGCCAAAGCATAGATCGCCGCTAGCATCAACAGGGACACATTTCCTCAGCGCACAGCACAGCATCAAGCCTTGTGCTCAGAAGCCGCTCGTCGCGGAGGAGCTTCTAATGGCTACAGCAGCCGCTGCGAAGCCAAACGTGAGGACGTGGAAGTCCTCAGTTTTGGCAGCAGGAGCGATCAGCTGCCTTAGAGATCGGACCTATCGTCAGGCCGGTCCGCCTTGTAAACATCGCCATCGGACACCCTCCGAGATACTGCGAGCCCAATCCCCTATCCGAGCCCCACAATGCGCAGGACTGAATCGGCTCATCCAACCCGGCGGCTCGCAAGAACCGCAAGAGACGGATCATCCGCATGACTCTCAGCAGCCGGATGATGCGCAAGAAGGTCATGAAGCTGCCCTCATAGCAAAGAGTGACATATGCTGTGCTACTACCCAGCGCTTCGCCACGATTGGAGATCCCTGCCTTCTCGTGTCTCACCGGCGAGAAGTCAAACATAACATCGAAGCAACCGGCGATGACGACGCAAAAATCAAAAAGGTTCCTCTCACGACAGTATTCAAAACCCCCAAAAAAGCAGGCTGCAAGAAGCACAGGCCAAGCGCTCCAGCTGAAGTCTTCGTTCGCATAGGCGAAAAATTTTGTCGGCCCGGAGACGACGATCCGCAGAAGCAGCTCGATGGAAAAGATGCCCAGAAAAGCAATTTCCAGTACCTGACACGCAGAAGGTACACATCTCCTTGCCGGAACGATGTCAAAGTGTGTAAGTACGTCTTCTGTCTGTAAAATCTCGAGAGGCGACTCTGACAGATGAGACTGAAAACATCTGTACAAGTTACACGTCCAGCAGTTGTCTTGCAGATAACAACTTGAACTGCTTGCGCCAGTCACGCGCCGTTGGAGGACCTACTCATCTGTCTGAAATAAGGAACGGGGGAACATGTTGCTCGAAGGAGAGCCGAGCTGCTGCCCAGACTTCTCCGACATTGTCTGTCTCCAGGCCAATGACGACGGCATTGGCAACGATCAACGTGGAGATGAAAAGCTGAGACGAGAATCAAAAGCAAAAGCATGCAGAAACAAGACACGGACCACACGCCGGCACACTCACACTTTCAGGATTTGCTTAGGCAAGGTCGTTAAATCCAACACTGTGGAGCAATTCCTCCCAGCAGTCTGGCTGGCAGCAGGACTTCTGCTGAAGTGCTGCATCCTCACATGCAGCACGAAGCTTGAACGCAATTGATCTGACAGTTCCAAACTCAGAATGCAGTCTTAACGCAGCGAGAGAGAGAGAGAGAGAGAGAGAGAGAGAGAGAGAGAGAGAGAGAGAGAGACAGAGACAGAGACAGAGACAGAGACAGAGACAGAGACAGAGACAGAGACAGAGACAGAGACAGAGACAGAGACAGAGACAGAGACAGACAAAGAGAGAGAGAGAGACAGACATAGATAGAAAGCAACAAAGCAAGCAAGCAAGCCAGAAAGCAAGAACGAAAGATGCTGCGAGCACCTAGACTGATGATGTAAGGCTTTCAGGCGTATCGGGTATGCGACTTGATTTTGTTCATCTTGCAAGATCCCCACAATCTACCCTTGCTTTCGCCTGCTATTTGGCTGCACACATGGTGAAATAGCAGATGAAGCAGCTGATTCGCGGCTAGTACCGAGAGACCATGCCCTTCCCGTGAAATCACGCAGTTATGTTTTCTGAAGTTCTGAACATATAGTAACACGGCACGCACGCGCAAAGCTGGAAAGAACGGCAAGCTACTCCAGGTGCCACAAAGATCGCTAGACGCACACCTTCGCCGAAAACTACCCACTACCTACGTACCTCCCTACCTCTATCCATGCATGTGCATGCGGCTGCATACATACGACACATGCTGACACCTGAAAAAGTCGTAGCCCCACATTCTCCCGCTGACAGTAGTGGCTCTGAAATTGTCGGGTGCGCGGACGTCTCTAGGTCTGAAACCCGAAGGACGGCAGCGATATCCAGTAGCACAAGGCGAAGTCCTTGTCAGCAGCACACTCCACATCAGGAACGAGCCGGTATTGGCCCAGGTTGTCGGCAGACATCAGCGGGGTCCGCTTCACCTGAAGAGAACAAGCATCTAGTTGAATCTAGTTGTCTCTTTTTCGATACTGCAACCCCCCACCCCGCGCTGCTGCAGGCACACCCTTTGCAAGAGCTTCAGGACGTCTCCCTCAGTCTCTTTCTCGTGGCTTTGCTTTGCTTGGGGTTTGGGGCGGGAGCAGTCCTCCCATCCCGCGCGTCTCTTTCTCTCTTTGCTTTGCTTTGCTCCGGGGTGTGAGCCACAGGCACTTGCTTGCAATCGGACAAAGCAGCGTGCAACCCCTGCCCGCGCTCGAAAGCGCGCCGGATCCGCGGTCTGTGTGACACTGACAAAAAGCTGAGGTCCGGCCGGGGTCTCGAAAACCCCCTGTACTGCCCTTTACACTATAGTTCCCCCTGTGGCACTCTCCTTTTCTCTGGCTTGCACGCAGCCAGGGAGGAAGCAGCGCTCCCTCTCGCGCACCAGTGCGCACTGGGTCTGTCTCTGGGTGAAAAGTTCCCCTTGGACTGAACGAGGCGCTAGTTGGGTCCGTTGTACCACTTTCTCTCTCTGTTTGCTTTGCTTTGCTCGGGGTTTGAGGCGGGAGCAGCCCTTTCTTGCTTGCAATCGGACAAAGCAGGGTGCAACCCCTGCCCGCGCTCGAAAGCGCACCGGATCCACGGTCTGTGTGACACTGACAAAAAGCAGCCCTTTCTCTCTTCGCTTCGCTTCGCTTCACAGGGGATGGGTTCGCGCGCGAACCCGGGCCTAGGCCCCCCCTTCCCCGTTTTGGCGGTGGAAGAGGCTTTGGGGTTTTCAGCGGTCGGGAGATTATGTACTGGCGGTCGGTGCGGTTGGTGAAGCACGGCTGGCGAGGAAACCGACCCTCCCTTTACACTATCGCGCGTCCCGGCCTCGTCCCCGCGCTCTCCAAAGCACACTCCTTAGTCCCTCGCCAGCCATGCTCCCCCCACGCAATCGCCATGGCCTGTGAACACTCCCCCTATGCATCAGCACAGCTAAGCACAGGACGTTTGGGGAGTGCTGGGTACTCAGTGTGCAGACAGCTTATCACCAGCACAGTTTCATTCCCCCAGCGGCCAAAGTAGTGAACGTGGGGTCCCCCGCTTGGTGAGTAGGAAGCAACAGCGAAAAAACACACAACCGTGCAGGTAACGAAGACGGCGGGGTCCCCTTCGAGAGGTAATGCAATAGTCGGTAACAGTAGGTAGTGGTGATCCCCCCGTTGGGGTCCCCCGCAAGGCATCGAAGTTCCTATTCAAAGTGGTGCTCGGTAACGGCAAGTTTCTGTCACAGTGCCAATTTTATGCAGGTGCAAGGGCATGTGGCCCTGTTCGGCAGTAGGTCGGAATGGCTCCAGCGGCCCGTCTTGAATTAGGCTTAACTTCGCAAGCTCCTGAAGAAAACACGTTGGAAAATTCCCCGCTCTCACTGCTTGTAGGTCATGGCGCTCTTTCTCCCCGCATGTGTGCTTGCACACGCTTTAAATACTGCACGCCACATTGGCCCTGGCATCAGTCGGACTCTGTTGGGGCCGCGCTTTGGTGTGGCTTCCCGTCGTCCTTCCCCACTTCGCCTCCTCGGGCTGCGGCTGGGCGTTCTCGGTCTCGCCCCCTTTCTCGTGGTGGAACTGGTCGCCTCCCCTTCGGTACTTTGTCTTGCTGTCCATGGTGGCGTCCCCCGTTGTGGTGGGGTTGTGTCGTCGTCTCCGTGGTCGTCTTCGCCCTCTCCCCAGTCCACTTCCTCTTCCTTGAAGGTCGCCCTGCTTTCACGTGTTGGGGTGCTCCCCCTGGCTGCCGCGGCTGAACTCACACGGGCGGTCTCTGGTGTAGGTAAGCGCCCCGCCTTTGTCTCACGCTTTGGACGCCCCTCCACTGTCTCACGCTTCTTCTTCTTCTCCTTCGCCTTCTTGTCTTTCTTGGCCTTTTTGGTCTTGCCTGTGTCCTTGCTCTTCTTCTTCTCCCCCTTCTTCTCGGCCTTTTTGTCCTTCGTCCCCTCCGTGGGTGGTGCGAGCTGGTTCTTGAACTCTTGCTTTGCCTGACTGAGGAGTGCCCCCACCTTCCACGGGTGTTTGGTATGTAGAGGAGGAGCTCTTTCAACACTTTCGGGTTCCCCTCCTTGACGATGGCCACGAGCTTGTCGGCTTGTCTCCCCGTCTCCCTCCGTGCGTTGTGTCTCTGGACATATTGCTGCCACTCCTGAGCGTCTGCCTCGCTTAGGATCTCCCCCGTCCTTTGGTCTGTGTAGTTCCCCTTCCTCCAGTTTTTCTGGATGCTCTTCCCAATCCAGCGGTCCAGCGGGTCCGGCTCGTAGAGCAGCGCTGTCCCCTGCTCACTTTCGAAGCGCACGTACTCGGAGTAAGGCCGCTTCTTTCCTGCCACTTCGCAGGATCCCCCCCCTTGGGGTTGGTAGAGGTCGTACTCATCGGCCTTTTCCCTCTGCTTCCTTATGTCGCTGGGTGCTGCCGTGCTGGCTATCCCCCCTGTTGCCACACGCTGTCTGTAGCAGGAGCTACCGCTGTCATGCGTTTTGTGGTAAAAAGGGCCTTCCAAGCACGCTCGGCATGTCACGCCCATCCCCCGCAGCTTCTCTGCGAGCGCGCAGTGTTTTTGCCAGGTCGTCTTTGTTTTGGCTGGCTTGGCCTCCGGCTCTCTTTCCATTCTGCTTCTCCCCCTCTTGGGGCTCGCTTTCCCCTCCGGCTTGGATCTCGAGGAGCTCGACATTGGGCGCGATGAGGTAGTGCGGCTGGATCCCCCTGTGTTCCACAATGGCAAAGTATGCTCCGTCCCCCTACTGGCGGGCCACCCTCTACGAGGGGCCGCGGTCAGGATCAGGAGGATGCGCTGGCAATGGGGCCTCTTAAGCAAAATGGCGGCGGGCGGAAGACTCAAGCGCCCGCTGGAGGAAGCGCAAAGGCTCCCCTGAGGTGCACAGCCTCAGGTCAACCCTGCGCCTCCCCCCCGATGTCAGGAGAGTGAACAGCCCCCCAAGACAAAGGTGCAGACACTTGAGCCAAAATGGCTACCTCCCCCTCCCCCTCTCTCTCTCCCTCTCTCTCTCCCTCTCTCTCTCTCTCTCTCTCTCTCTCTCTCTCTCTGTCCCTCCCTTTTGTCTTCTGCTCCAACAAAACCAAAGAAGTGGACACCCCTCGCACGCACGCGTGCACTGGTCTCCACCGGTCTCACACCCACATTTGAGGTTGGGACTGCACGGCAAGGTAACACCACGACTAAACCCAAATACCGCCTCCCTTCATCACCACCAAAGTAGGTTCCGTCATGTTCTGTCCCCCGTGGCTGCAAACGGGAATCATGGTGTCCGTCTCGGACAGCACCAGTCCTCTCTTTCTCTCTTCCGCAAGGGTTTGAGGAGGGGGAGGGCCCCTGCCGCCGTGCTCCAGGTGCCCCCACATGTTATGGGGATGTTTTGGGAAGCATCGTGACAAAAGCAGTCCCCTCTCTGTCTCTCTCCCGCCGGGCGCCGCACGGAGCTCTCGGAGCCTTGGCCTCGGCACCCAGGCTTAGAATACAGGGTCTGCACTGCACTGCGCTTCAAGGCTGCATGTGTCCCAGTGGCTCAGCCGCCGATGCGACGACAGCTGCCCGCTTGCCATGGCTCTGCAAGCGCTCTGGCGACGAACACGCACTAAACCGAATTGATCGCCTGCTACCGGGCCCGGACAGCCCTGTGCATCTCTTGTGAAGTCTTCCGGAAGGCTGTCTTTGAGAGGCTGCTGGCTCGTCTCTGAGAATGACAGTGAAGAAGAACGGCATTGTACTTTATACTTACACCGACACGGCCACGGGCAGACGGAGGGCAAGGCAGTTGCACAGACACGGCCAAGGGAGGATCTTGGACCACAAAAAAACGTAAACTAACCGCACGTCACACTTCGACCGTACCAGCCTCAGGAGAACCACGCAGCGAGGCCTTACCTTGGCAATCTTTGGCTTACCTAAAGCTTACCTGCAGAAATTCTACGAAACATCTCTCCATGTCCACTTTCCGTGCGTTCTTAGGCCCGGGCTCTGCACAACACCTGCAAACACTAGCAAGACCTCCCAAGACCTACCTCGTCGTTACTTCAACCTGGATGTCTCAGATGGTAAGTCTGGTTAAAGACATAACAACCATTACTGCTGCGAAAACCGTAAAATACTAATGGTCAAAATTGATGACGACAAAGAAAATAGTGTTGTGATCATGACCATACTGGCAATCGTAACAAAGGCAGTGGAAGTGCTTCTGCAAAGCGCAAGGCAGGCTCAAGACATCAACCTTATGCTATTCATCGGCAAGAGGGAGAAGAAGAACTGTCAAGATATTGACAAACTATGTGGATCATGGCAACAACAACGACAACAGCGAAAACAACAGTAGTAACAACATGGATATGATTATTGGCAAAGATGAAGAAGACGGTAATGCGACGGTGGCTGATGACGGTGTTGACGATGCTGCTAAAACAGGTGACGAAAATGATGATGATGATGGTGGTGATGATGATGAACCAGAAGCTGATGATTACAGACTATTGGTAGTTTCGTATCTATCTGCATTAATGAAAGAAACACGCGGTTACCCCTTAGTTTTCTTTCCTTTAAGAAACAGCACAAAGGAACTCCAAGGTGTTATACGGAGCTGGAGAACGCTGATGGTACTGGTGGTGTTAGTGGTGCTCCGGCGGCGGCGGTGGTGGCGGTGGTGGTGATGGTGGTGATGGCGATGATGGTGGTGGTGGTGGCAGTGGTGGCAATGAGAATGCTTCTGATGATGGCCATGGCGCATCACAAAGCTAGTAACGATGAACAGTTTTATGATGACGAGATGACGGCGATGAACATCATGCTCACGTCAGAATGATACCGATGTCGATCCTTCCGATTCTACCCCACAGGCGAAGGTGGGGAAACAAGGGTCACCGGGCTTTGCCTGCCGACGACGCGAGCTTTCAATGCTCACCAAGATTACCAAGGATGTGCCGTCGTTCTGATACAATAGCAGCAAGAACATTTGCACAAGTAGCACTGGCGCATAGGCTCCGGAACGCGCGTGTGTCACCTTTGCTTTCCCATATGCATGCGCTGCAAGCAAATCCAACAATACACACCACATTTAAACAAAAAAAGCTACATCTACAAAGATGTATTCATATGTATATATACACATATCTATACACATATGTAGTTGATTGTCTTCATAAACACACACGGCAGCCAAAAGTCGAAGAATCGAAGTCCGGGAATGACACACTAATTACTGTACCAATCCCGTGCTAGAACTAGCCTGCTATGCATGTCGACTGAAGGACCACCTAGATTCTGCTCCTGGGCCTGAAGGACCTCTGCGCTTTGGCAGAACTCGTCCAGAAGATTATCGCCCCAGAGTTCTTCCGAGCCCAAGAACCTCAGAGCTTCGGATGCTCGGGCCGTTCGGCAAGGGACCCAGGTTGATCCAAGCAGACTGCAACGCAGCAGAAGCAGCATGTTGCTGAGGAGGTGACTCCAAGAATGCTGCAGCCAACACACGATCCTGTAGTTTTGAAACCACAATATCGTTGCACATGCCACGGTGCTCTGAACACAAGCACCTTTGGACCGTAGAACTTGTTGTCTGCAAAGTCAGCCTCGTAGTACCTCGACCAAACTTGCACATGCCAGGACTGCCACACTGACACTGAGCGCTAGGTTGAGGTGCCACCCATCAGGACAAGCACGTGCTGTGACAAGACGCCTACAGACCCTTTCACAAACAAATCAAAACCAACCATAAAAAGCTTTTCAAGCCCCACACCTTGGCTCATCCCCCAGGCCCGGCCATGACCTACAGTAGGCACTCTCTTCCTCCTCGCCACATCCCCCATGATCGAAACTGACTGCGGCTTGCTTCGCCAAGGGCTTGACCCAGTTGACGAAAACGCATCCTCACGAGAGCAACATAAATTCGAAGGCACTTAGGCAGGTCGGACATGCGCTTGTTTCAAGATCAGCCTGGAGGGCATCCGATGATGTTACGATGGGAGCAAGTGAAGCATGTGCCCATGCATGGTACATGTGCATACGCGCGGGCAGACCCACGCACACGTTTTCCTCCCTGATCAGATGACTTGGGTGAAGTAATGAAACACCAAAGGACAGGCGAAGAGAAGACTCGAAAAGAGCTGCGGAGGGAAAGACAAATGGAATTTCAATAGAGATATTAATGTATGAAGTGAAGCTCGGATCAACACAACTTGCTCAAGGCTGAGGCTCGCAAAGAAGGAAGGCGTGGCATGTCTTGACAGTCGAACGTTTCCTGCTCATAGTCCCGAAATGATTCGTCTGGCACGGCTTAAAACATTATGACCAAGAGCCGCAACGTGCTGTCAACGGCTTTGTTGCCTGCGACAACGAGATATCTGAGCCGAATGCTCGGAACAGACAGACACACCTATGAAACATGGGAATAACATGTGCCGGCTGCCACGCTACTAGCCTTGCCTGGAAAACCTTTAACATCCTTGATCTTCAATGACACAAGAGTATGCAGCCAAGCAGCATCCTTCTTCCTCGGCAGAAGTCAGAAGCTGTTGCTAAAGGGTGCTGCAGGACCCTGTTCTGGGGTACAGACGTGTGGTCAGGCTGGTCAAGTTCCACCGCCAGGGGCAGCTCGGGTCTGACTTCCTGAACTCATGTCTGGAACTCAAGCCGTGCTGGCCGCGAAGATGCTCGAAATCCAGGGCTTCCACCCCCCAAGCATCTCCACCTGAGCTTAGCATTGCGGCATCGTTTGGCGACTGCCGGCGGCAGTGACGCGTCGATTTAGGCAGACTTAGGCCTGCGCGCAAGACAGAACAGATTGCGGCCATCCCTGTCTGCGCAGCTGCACGAATCAGCACAAGTGCCCGCCATTCGCACAACCAAAAAGCGTTCGTGCCTCCGCCAGCTCGAAAGAGAGATCTGCCGCGATCTCCGGAACTGCGGAATCAATGAGTGCTGAATCCGTGGTTGGCAGGAAGACTGTATGTAGCACCAGACGGTCGTCTCCCACTTCTGCCGCTGTGCGCTTCTCAACTAGTATCCGTATCCTGCATTATCAAGGCGAGGAGGTCATCCGAAGAAACAGCAGGTTTTTGTCGACCAGGCGGAGGTCGCAGACTGACCCAACTATTTACAGAGAGGGTGTCCGACAGTAGCGAGGCTTCTGGGGCGACGGTGAGTGGGCACAACCTCGAACATTCCTCAAAGTCTATGTGGAACGATGTGCAACTGTCAACTGCAGAAGCTTGAGCAGCAGAAGCCTCACCTCGAACGAAAATCATGTGGCCTTCATGCCTTCCGCGAGTTTACAGTCAGAGAACGGAGTCAGTAGAATGGTTGCTGCGTCGCTTTAGCGTGAAAGCCGCATGCATCACACTACATCCGGAGGATCCAGGCGTTGCAAACAGCTCACCAGGAACCAGCAGCCTGCGCAGCCTGCCAGTCAATGCTGAATTTGCTCCTCGAATTGGGACTAGCAGCTAGTAGCATTGCCTACACTGGAGATTCAATGTTTTGTGACCTAATGATGCATGTGCACACTGAGCTGCAGACATGGGCCCAGCCGCCCTTGGCTCGTCCAGCGGCTCCATTAACATCCCAAGCGCCGCCAGCGCCCTTACTCCAATAGGTGAAATGTGCATTCCAGGCATCGCCGCCTGCGCCTTTGCCTTGGCCAACAGGGCCTTGGCTGTGGCCTTGGCCTTTGTTCCAGGCCACGCCTTGCCACTCTCCACACCCGTGGGCCCACGTCTCTGTGCCTACGCCCCCCTTGCCGGGCCAGCCCGCTGGTCTGCCACCTTTAAAGCAGCCTGGAACACAACCACTGCCGGGGAAACCACAGGCACCGTCAAAGCTTCCCTTTGCAAAGCCGGATCCACAAGCGCCGCAAGCTGCTGCGGCACCCTCACCTCCACAACCGCAGCCTTCCCACCCACCGTAGCCGCTGCTGCAAGCGTTGGATGCATTGGCCCCGTGGCCGTGGCTCCACTCCCCCCACTCGTACACCTGGCCGCTCCCGCTGTCGGCCGGGGCGGCCGGAGCTTGGGGGCCGCAGCCTGCCCCGGCTCCCCCTCCACACCACACGGCCGCCTGCTCGGAACCGCCAACCCGGGCTTCACCTGCAACGTGACATGCAGGTTTCATGCATCAAGAAAGCCAGGAATCACACGACCCACCTGAAGGACTGGACCACGCAGTCGGCAAGACCTCAGAAAGCGAGCTCCCACTAAGTCGGAAACAAGAAAGACGGCTCATACGGCTCCCAGCTTGAGCTGGGCCAACAGTCTCGAGGCCACGGCGGCAGCTCCCGATGTAGCCTGGGCCTTTGCATCAGACGCCGCGGCTGGAACCTCGTGTCGCGGCGAAGCAGCAAGAAGAAGCGTTTTCGAAGAGGGCTTCCTTCTGGGTGCCTCGGAAGCATCTGTGGAGCCGTCATGGCCAGCCGCAGCTCCTGCTGCTTCCCACGACGATCAGGAGTCGACCGGCACAGCTGCACTACAGCCAGTGTTTCATGTAATACTTCTGCGAGCTGGCCTGCAGCACCATTTTCCGAGGGCACCTGTTGGAAAAAAACGGTGGAAACTCAGCATTCTTACCGCCACTGCCCTTGCAGCCGCAAGCAACTATCAACGTCCGGGAACAAAACACCCACTCGTGGCGTGCTTTTTGCATACAGGAAGGCCTGCCCAGAAGCTGCTGACCTCGGAGGGAAACACAGGGATTTAATGTACGCAAAGGCTGAACCTTTCCCTTCCCAGCAGTCCAACTCAGAGGTGTGAAGTCCGAGCCAGAACGATGGAGCATCAGCAGCATCATGGGGCCGCCGTTTCTCGCCCAAGAACCGTCTTTGCAATGCCCTGTGATCAACCGCCGCAAAACCCAGATCCTGGTGAGGTCTAGCATGGTCTGGCAGTGCAAGGCCCGAACGCTTCGGCAGCTTCAGGGGCTTCCCTAGCATCTGCAGCGGCGCAACCACCTGACACGATGAGGCAAACCGCCCAATATCTGCCATTTTGTGGCCATAGCTCTCGATCTATGCATGCTGCGGCACGCCTGCAAGCTGTGGCTCTCTCCCTGCCCTTAAGGCACTGAGTCAGACAGTCTGTACATCAGCCGCGTGCATCAACGGAGTGGTATTGGGTCCTTCAAACTCGGAGTTACACTACTGGACCGCTCATCTCCCGCTGTGATCACGCACATCCACCCGTCACTTCTGGGCTGCCTCTTGACATCAGCAGGCGGTTTCACAATGTTGAATTGCTTTACAGCACGGACACTTGTAGCCCCGCTGTCCAGAATTGCACTGCAAGGAACGCGGGCACTGAGTGCACTCATTTGAAGCCTAGATGTCGAAAGTCTCCGTTTGGGATTGGATGCCTTCCATGCAGACTCTCTCCAGCAAAAGCACTCTTCCGATTTCAGCTCAGATTTTACCGATGTCCCAAGGACAAATAGAGACTGCAAGAGGCTGAAAATCTTGCCCAGTTCTGCTTGACTGGAACCGGCTGAATTCAAAAAGCATGTGCAGAACAGACACAAGCGAAAGCAATACGACATTCGGCGAGAACAACCAAACTTGGCTCCTCGTCTTGCGGGCATCTGTCTCGAAAGTTGGGCAAGCTGCTTTCTGTGAGTTTCCCAAGATTGCTAATTATGGAACAGCCTGCTGACCAGCCACGGCGACCTTGGTCAGCTGGCGTGCAGGCCGTCCTCCGAAGATAGAACGACGGCCTGCATCAGACGTGGACCATGGCCAATCGTCGAGAATCTCCAGGTCCTCAATTTTCTCTGGACGAAGGATGAAACCGAACCAGAAGTGATCCTTCTCGGTTCCTTCCCGGAGCCTCTCTGTGCCCAGGCACCTGCTTCCGCCAGGCTCTTTTTAGGCCCCAGATTTGCGCCCAACGGGTAGGACGAGTCCGACAGCACCTGGGCTAAATGGGGCCCCTCCTCACCTGCTTTCTTCGCTGCGCACCCTCAGGCTGACACCCCACATTCGCCGCAGGCCCAGATCTTGTCCGGCCCACCAACCTCCGTTGAAGAGCTGCAGTCCCAGTCCATGCCAGTCCATGTCTTCGCTCGGGCTCCCGCCTTGCAGCCAACACCTTCGAGAGGGTCCGGATCTTCGCCGCAGGGCTCGTCGTCATGTCGACGAAGTCGTATGTAGCCTTGCAAAAGAAACTCCAGGTGCTAAAAGGAAAGCACAGGAAGTCTGTGTTGCAGCCCCAGCTGCCGTGTTCTCCAAAGTTGTCTCCCCACGAATTCCTCGCATTCCAATCAGCTTCGGCAAACGAGGCTTGCGTCCACTGCCGGTCCTGATCAGCCAGTATTTGGTCCCATTCTCGATGCCATATCCATCCAGCACCACAGCATGATTGATGTTGGGAGCCGTCTTGTTGCAGGCATCGAAAATACCTGCCACAAACACGCTCTGAGATATCCATCTGACGTATTGCGGAGGCACTGTCACTGTGTCGAACACCTCACCTTTAAAAGCATCCGCTCCGACAAGATTAAGCCTTTCGACAAAAGTAGTAGACAATGCTTTCTGATGCCGGGGCTTGAAGCCGAAAGCTCGTGCCTCCTCCGTACATCCACCAATCAGTGGCATCCACAGAGACAGCTATGGGCCCAACCTTTGTCACTGCTTCCATCAAGGCCTGCCAGACTCTGATTCCAAGGCATGGCAAGACCTTGTTGAATCCAAGTGAAGTGCGACGGATGGACATGGCCTGGGGATCGTTTTGCGGCAGGGTGACGAAGCCTTCGATGCTAGCCTTTCGCGGCAACCAGAACTGCGTGTTGTTTTCGCCTCGCAAGCGGATTTTCGCCAATAGGGAGCAGTTATACACAAATAACTGCGGCATTTCTAGGGGCGAAACACTGGCGGCTTTTGAACTCCATGCCGCTCAAGTACGGATTGTGCCAAATGTCTGAAACACCACCTGCATGGCCACCAAGCTGTTCATCTACGTTGGATAACCGGATGCTTACGCCAACAGCTGAGCCGTTGGCTGATTTCTGATGTCTATGGACCCGGCCCCGAACCATCGCAACTTGGTTCTTGCCGATTCTCGGCTCTGCTTTCACTGCGAACTCTGCTCCTGTTGAAAAATCACCATATGGCACCGTGGCGGGCCTGCTTCGACAGCATACGCAAAGGCAAGCTGAGCTGTGGCCCCACTGCAGCCACCATCACCCCCGCAACCGTCTGGATTTGGAGCGCAAGAAGTCATCTCCTGACAGTTTGTCAGTGCGAGGCACTTGTTTGACTAGCCATGTGGGCTTCAGTGAGCTGCCCGGCTTGTTCTGCCTCCACACAACTGGTTTGCTGCTTCACGCCTCTGCTGAATGGACTTCTCTACTCAATGCAGGAAATCCTGAGGCGACAGTGAAAGTAGCACACCGGTGTTTATGGCCACATGGCTTTCCTTGGCTGCGTGGTGCTGATGAAACCATGAAACAAGGAAATGAGAACGCAGCCCGGCTACGACCTCAATGACTAAAACAGCTATCAACCAGACAGAGGCATGAAGGCTCAAAGAAATGCCAAGTAACGATCACTGTGGAAGCAGCAAAAGCCCAGCAACTGCCGCAACCTTTTCACAGGAGTGTGCAGACCCCTTGATGCCACGATGTAGTGTTCAAAAGGGACAGCTTCAATTCTGATCGGTGCTTCCCATGCTCAGGCCGCAACCGCCTTGGCCTTAGAAACGTGGACTCTCTAGAAAAGTCACGCATGTTAGATAGCAGATAGCAACTGCTTTCTCCTTAGGCTTTCTGCTCGAAGAACGTGTCTGTGTGCAGAATCTGCTTGTCATTAGTGCAGTTCGCATCGGGACATCCCTGGCAGCCGAGAGGCTCTTCACTGGCGAACACACAGCCGGGCTCCGCTTTCGCCAGTCGATCGCATCTGGGATGTCTGTCTTCTTCCTGTC